CTGGAAACCTACAGTAAAACAATATTTTACCAACTCAGAACACTTTGTTAGCCTTAGATGTCTTGGATGAAACGTGAAAACGTAAACAGTGATTTGAAGGACACGATGGAACAACATTAACTTTCTCAATATATAACCACAAACGTTTCCCAACCATGATGTAGTGTTTCAGCGGTCTGATCCAAACCACGAGACATGGAAGTGAACCCCGTCTCTGGTGTCAGAAGTACTGAGTTTTGCACACCAGACCTTCTGTGCAGTAACACCCTGGCATGTTTTCAGGCTTGGAAGAAAAACATAAACCAGGCAGCAATTACATTTCATCCACAATGTATCTGACAGAGCAAATTGACAGTAAAACGTACGTTGTAGCATACAGTGTTCCATTACTTGGACTCACTGCCAATATCTGGTGCATTTACTTGTTTTCCTGACAAGTGCGATGAAGATCAGTTTTCCTAAAATGGATAAAATCCTTAATTTGATTCTATTTTTCGAGTGTTTGCTTCAGCTCCACTGATTTATATGTTATTTCATCTGCCACTTTGCAAACTTTGAAATGGCACTTGAAATTTGCTTTCCAGTTGGATGGAAGTGCTGCATGTCCCTGCCTGTTGTCCTCTCTTTCTCTCTGCTTTCCTCCCACTCTCCATGTCTCATCAGGAGTGTCATCAGCCCCCACTCCGGTTGATGCCTGTTAATATGGCAGCGCTATTGTCTGCTCATTCGTTGCTGCTGTCTCTATTGTTTGCTCTCGCGCTTGACAAATTCATCAAAGGAAAATGAAAAGAAACGGGAGAAAATAGCTGCAAATCATGTTGTTTTGTACAATTCACTGCAGAAGTCTGGAGGGTAAGCCTTTGTCTTCAAATGGTGCACAAAATGTGTGTTTGCTTGGCCGTCCTGCACATATATCATCTGTTCTGCCACTAAGCCGGTGGGATGGCCCACTCAGCCACTGAGTGCTGTGTGTGTACAAGTGTAAATACAGTGTGGGTTTCTATATGTTTTTGCCTGAGTATTTGTACAAGTGTCTATTTACAGTACAGCTGTGCTTGGTGTGCGTTAGTACCTTTGCTCTGTGGAGGGTTCTGGCTGCGGTCTCGGAGGATGTTGATCTGGTAGACGGCTCCGTACGGCTCAAACAGCTCCTTCAGCTCCTTCTCTGACCAGGAGCGTGGGATCTGGCCCACGAACATCTTGATAGCGTCTGGATCCGGCTGGTCTGAATGCTCCAGCGCCCCATTCATCTTCCCGGCCGTGCCGTTACTGTTGTGGAGGCAGAGGACAGAATATGAAAAGCTTAAAAAGACACCATAATCATGCCACAGAACCAAAAACCTGAGTAGGACAGTATAGTACCAGTATTAATTATGTGGTGCTACGCGCTTTGAATCCTGAATTGGGCACTGTTACTGATGTGTGCATGTAAAACCACTTTAAACACACAAAAACCTGACCCGAAGGATGACCTCTACATTGTAAGCTCTCTGTGCACTGCCCTGCAGTTTTGCACAGCCAAACTAATTTCACATTGCACAGAAGGTGCAGTTCCCCAAACCACAGTCCTGCTTGTTCTCATGTGTACAAACTACAAATCTAATGATTTAGTGTTGTTGAATTTCTACACACAACACTGTTATACGATTTTAGCTTGGCACTTAGAGCTACAGGATGTACCTTAATAAGGTAGCACAAGCATGAAACTCCACATCAACCTGCTCTGCAGCACCCATCGCTCCCTCTTCCTGCTCCACTGTGCTCTGCTAAGCTCCGCCATGCTCCAGATATTTGTCATTATGAAATGACAACAAATGAGAATTCAACAAAACTTACAGAGCAAGAAGAAATAATTGAAAATCTGACTGGTCAGAGAGATCGATACCGCTCAAAACCTTTTAGAAGATAATATCTCTGCACTGCAGCCAGCGCTGCTCAATGAGCCACAGGGGCTTCGACAGCACATCTCCACATTAAGACAAGTTTTGGAGCAGATTTCTACAACAAAAATATCTGACAAAAATTACACATTGTCACTTTAAAAGTTTTATTTACTGCACAAGGTAAAGTAAAACAAAGGGCATAGAACACAACGTGAAGTGTGCAGTGAAAGCTAGCAGCAACAGTGTTTGTTACCATGCAGTTGTCAGACAAACAAATGCGTTTAAAGTATCATTTTCTGAACCTTCAGCCACTGGGCTGAGGCAATTAGTGAACAGGGAAAGAAAAAAAAAGTGAAATATCTTAGTCAAGACCCCAAAATCTTGTTGAAAACTGATATAGGTAAAATGTTCGAGAGCTCCCTCAGATTTTCATTCACCAGACAGTGTAAAAGCCCTTAAAACAGCTGCAGGCCATAACAGGGACACTCAAACCCAGCAAGAGCCACACTAATAACATTTCTCAGGTGCCTTAGCAGCTCCTTATAGCAGAGTACGACAGCTTTCAATTCAGGCTTTACAGACCGATATCCCTGAAGCTGGCAATTTTTATATATACTGACCAGGCCCATCAGCAAACTGACTTATTACTCTGATCCTAAATATGGATTTTTGATAATAGAGATGCAGTGATGGATCCATCCTGGATGTCAGTAAACCCTCACTGAAGGACTGAGAACAACATATTACAGCACAACAACAAAGGCAACACACAAAGACCTACACACAAGACACAAAGTGCCTTTGCGTTTCATTTTACTGTATCCATTGACATCTGCTGTTGTACGTGCTGTGGTGAGGAGCAGGGACACTTTCTGAATGTACAGACCTGTCACCCGCCACGCTGCACCTCTGAGTGTGAGTGAGAGCAGGACATGCAGTGTGCAGTGCATTAATGTGAGGTTGTGTGTAAGGGCCTAGACTGCAGAACCAACGCAGTGACCCTCCAGGTCCTCTTAACAGGACACAGATGCTTACACGCCAATCAGTTTGGTTATAGTACGTCCACATCTGGAATGCATATGAAATGGAGGTGAAGTGCGCTCACCCTTTTCACAACACAACACTTATCTTCACAAAACATGCTACTCTGTCCATACGTTTGGAATGCTAACTCGAGCAACAGCGTGACTTCTTTTGGACGCATAAAGGCGAGTAAAGGCTTTCGAGGGAGAATGCCTGACGGAGACGTGAACGGCACCTGAGCACAAATGAGGCAAAGCGTGACTGTGTTTTGAAGAGAATCATAAGCACATGGCTAAAAATACACACATACACTGACACACGCACAAATCACTGCCATCAAGGCATGTGGTCTGTTCAGGATGTGTGAAAACCAATTTAATGAAACTAAAGTCAATGGCTGTGCTGTTTTATTGCTGTACTTTCCTTTTTGTTATCCTCGGCATGAGAAAGAAAGAGCATTATCTTAAGAGGCAAAAACAAAACAAAGCCAAATCCTGGGCTTGGTGAGCTGACAACACTAATACCACATTTTAAAGCCCAGCAAGAGAGAAAGAGGGAAAGAAAGGAGGAGAGGAAAAGAGAGATATGGAGAGAGAGAGTGGGAGAGAGGAAAAATACATTCAGACCTTTGAACACGGGCCATCCATCTTTTGCAGAAAGAGCCAAGGCGCTCAGCAGAAACGCCCAATTCTTTAAAGGACTTAAAGGACATGTCAAATAAAACGCCAGAACCGGAGAAGGAGTCAACGAGCCAAACCAGGGCTAACAGTCCTCGGGGCAACAAATGCTTCTCACTAAGCTGTCCGATAAATCGCGGTGGCCCTGGCCCTGAGGGAGCCCCACGGGTGCCGGCTGACTGGGGAGAGGAAAAAAGGGAGGAAGGCAAGGAAGGGCGAGAGTCCGTGCCCCTATCACTGGCTGATGTTTAGGCACCTAAATGGTAAGGACGACTGTATCGGATGAGCCTCGGCGGTCGCTGGGTTCAGACTGCAGCACCTCATCCCTTCGTCCCCTGACACACACACAGAGCTGATGTGTGTGAAAGAAGCTGGAGACAATCCCTCATTGTTGGCTGTTTACATGAGCCTGTGGGGACTGAGCGAGTCCACGGGGGAGACGATACAATAGGCAGTGTCAGAGGAGTGCCTCCCTCGTCCAGGACACTGTCTGCCCTGTGCTCCCTCCACCATTCACTCAGCCTGCTACGACAATGAATAGCTTCACACTTGCAGCCATAAGGCATACAAATGCTTACAGAGCTGCTTGTGTAGATTGCATGCTCTGTCTTTTCTCGAGGTGCTTGGAAGTAGGTGACTCCCTGCACTACAAAGGAGTGAACGCCTCTTCCATTGCCCCTGTGGCCAAGACTGACAAGGTGTTATTGCAGGCAGACGAAGCTTCAGTGAGTGTGTGTGTAGATGTTTGTGCAAGTGTGTGAAGCTCAGCAGGAGAGAGTCCTGGGGCTCAGATTAAGTCATTGAGTGGATCCACTCCTGCCATAGCCTCTCCATCTCCCTCCCTCTTCTTCCTCTTCTTTTCCCGCTCTCCCTCTCAATTTGAGCCAATTGTTTGACTTAATGGCTTAACTATTGTTTCCATCACTCCAGTCTCCCTGCAGCAAAAGGCCGTGACTGAGGGCTGATCTACGCTGAGAGTGTGTATATGTACGTGTGTCTGTGCTCAGCCAGACTGCAAAAAAGTGTCTGGATAGGTCTTTGACGCAGCTGCTGAGGGCTGTTATTCCCTCACCTCACACTCATATTAGACAGCAAGTTCATTCATCTAGACCACAGCTGCATGATACTGGCCATAAAACCTTATAACGGTTTATTCATTCATTCGTCTTCTTCATTGTACATTTCCAGCTCCTCAGACCTCCCCCCTCTGTTAATGGAATTGTTCAACATTTTGGCCAATAAAGTAATTGGCTTTGTTTCCGACAGAGAGATGAAAAGATCAATATCCATCTCATACCATTCAGGATGTGGTTAGAATACAAACTATAAGGAGGGGGGCTTGTCCAAATTAAAAAACATGCCTTCCAGAGCCTTATTTACACGATACCTCTTGTTTGTTTAACTTGTACATGAACGGAAATGTAAAAACAATTTATGGCTTTGGCAGGAGGAACAACAACGTCCGGAAATTAAATTTTCTGAATGCTGCACTCAGTCACCGCACTGATTACATGAACTGTAGTAACCTAATAAAATCCATGTATATGGTGCATGTAGCAGGTCAGTGGTGAGGGCTACCCATGAGCTGCCTTTGGACTGAGAGCACAGTGAGGAGACGGGCTCTGTAGTGCTGTCTTACTGCACAAACAGTCAAATGTTTTAGAAAGAGTTCTTTAAAGCTCCTTAGTATTAGCTTCAACAATATATTCATTCATCTTTAATCACACGCTGTGTTAGCAAACATTTGCCTTTTTAGATATTCAACATTATCATTCATTTGGAGTTTTATTTCCAACGCCCCTCGTCAACCACCTGGTACTGGCTCGGCTGTACTCCACCCATTTGTTTTTCCATCGGCCAAATATTGGGGATAGTACCTGGCACCTGTTATTATCTTTGGTATCACCTTCCTTCAGGTTCCAAGTGAGCTGAGGTGATACCAAATGGTGACTTGTAAACTCTGCAGACCAGTGATTGGTCAGAGAAATTTGTCACTACCCACGTGGCCATCTTGCCACCGATGAAACTGGGTGTTTACATGTGATGATATCAGCTGCTTGTTCATCATTCATTGACAACAGTAGCTGCTACTTCTCTTTCAGGTGTTATGGAGGGGAAAATTCATGGTGACAGAGGCTGGAGGCCTCTGTTATTATATAACATAACCGTTATATTACGTGAACCACAACACCAAGCATCTTATCTCGTAGCCCATAGGTTACTGAATGTGATAATACAAGCACAACGGCTACAGCTATGCCTGCTAAGTAGAGCTAGCTAGCTGACCTGTTAGCGGGTCATCACATCTCCGAAAATGTTGGAGCAAATTTGTAACTTGCATTACTCAGATAGACTGACCACATATTCGAAAACTAGATGGTTAATTTCTTGTTGAAAAACCATCAAAACGTAATAAAACGGCATAATAACAGTCCTAGGATGATAACTTCACAGTAGTCTCATATGGCGGCACTGTGACAACCAGCTACGCTGCAGGCGACTATCTGGTACCAAAGGCGAGTAGAGCTGAGTAGAGCTGAGTAGAGTAGAGTCAAGTTGATCCAGTAAAAATAATCTTACCGGAAAAATGAGCTTATTGTCCAACAGTCACCTTCATCAGCTCCCCAGGAAAATATGTGCCCCTTTTGCTTCCAAATGCTCCACATCTTTACCAGCCAGGCGCTAA